TCTCTCTCTCTGTGTGTGTGTGTGTGTGTGTGTGTGTCTGTGCTCAGGCGAGTAAACTATTGTAAACGCCAACACTAGTTTTGATCAGCACATTCTGATGTTTTGATTTCAACAAACGTAAAACATAATACGAAGCAAAACAAACAAAGAAAACCGGAATGTGACAATCAGTCATAAATCTGTGAAATATACATAGCATTGGCAATGACGTCAGAGGTAGGCTTACTTGCTGAGACCATTGTTGCCAGAGATTATGGGGCTATGTCCAGGGTAGGGGGCAGCGTTTTATTGGAGGTCGTATCGTCCGCGACCGATTGCTGGGTAGCAGGAATTGGTGAAGGGTAAAAGGGGGGGGGGGGGGGTGGCATTTGGGGAAAATCTGGATTTCTGGCATTGAATAGAAGGGTGCTGATCTCATATATGATGTATTTGAGAAAACTCTGTATTTGCGTCCGTGCAGAATAATTCATTGTCATCTTTATTAGGCCTATCTTGCTGCTGCATACTTTGTTTAATTTCGTCTCTATTTCTTCGATGATCTTCAATCAGGCCTTAATTCGCTTCGTCCAGACTTGATGATGGTCCTTCCTTCGTAGACTTTGCTTTCTTGGGTTGTTTTCTTTTTGAAGCTTCGCTCCTATCACTGACGGCGCTGGCTGATGTGGCTACGGCACATACAGCAATCTTAAGTTATAATTAATGTAGGTTTGACGTTATATTCAAGTGCATTTAATTAGGGGGGTAAGTGAAATGCTATTGCTATTTTTGTTATTACACGATTTAAACGATAAATGATAGCATAGATAGATTACAATCATAGACTCCCGAAAGTTTCCTTCAAACTTAAAAAAGTATGTGGTTGCCATGGAAATGGAGGCCACCTTGAAAATAAACACTTCTTTTCAGTCTTAGTTTTAACCCTTCTCTCTCGAACCAAGGAAATCGACATTTCGACGTTTTCCCGCTTACCTTAGTGCTTCCATGCTGCTTCGTTCCTAGGAAGTAGATTTGGCAGAAAATGGGCCCCGCCCACTTCATGAAGAATTCTGGTGCCGAAGAAAAAAGTTTCGCTCCCTCGTTCGAAACAAAATCTTTGCATGCGAATTTTGCACTCGGCCGTGCGAAATTCCGGTATATGGACTTACACAATGACAAAAAGGTTGGTGCGAGAAAAATAATTCGCACGCGAAGTTGGCATCGTTTTTTTGGGCTTATGGAATGTCAGCTTAATCCAGCTCTAATTTCCCTCCCCTCCTTTGGACGTAGACACGTGCACGTGGAAGCCACAGAAGGACAAATGTTCAATCTGAAAGCTTCCGTCGACATGTTTACAAGTTCTCGTCCTTTTGTCTTTGACTGGTTATGAAGAATAAAGGATGAGCAAATCAAAACACTGCTCAAAATTAAAGCATCAAGCAGACCAATACTAGATCTACAGACAAGGGGAAGAAAAACGTCAGAACTATAAAGCCAAGAACTAACAAAGAAGCAAGAAGATAGGCACATTTCACAAAAAGACTTAATCTCTGCTTATTGCTGATGAGCCAGTGGCAGGCTAACTATGGACGTTACACAAAATTTTACCCTGTATTCATAAAAGATTTTTAACAATATTTTTTTCACAAGGATTTTTGAAGAATCGAAACCATTCTGTCAGAGATTTTTGTTCTTCTAATTTTTTATACATGTACACATTTTCTATCTTGCCAGAGAGAGGCTGTTTTACTCTACCCTCAGATCAAAGTAAGACAAAATGACGTAACTTCTGAAAATGACACATCAAATGCTGTTGCTGTCGTCAGGGTTTTATGAAGGTGGTTGTTTCTTGTAGATTAGTAAACTCCTTTGAGTCTTTGGACTCGACAAGGCCCCCGCCACTGCCCTCATAACAGACTTGACAGAGGTGCACACAATACATTTGTACATCGTTTCACTTCTGCAAGAAAAGAAAAAAGATGGCGATATTACTTTGACAGAAAAAATTATTTCTATCATTGAAAAGAAGCCTTTCCTCTACAACAAGACCTTAGATGAGTATGCTGTCAGGTATAAGAACGTTTGACAAAATGCCCTTTTAAGAAATTTCTGACTGGTCTAATGGTGAACCCAAAACCACATTTTCCTTTTCTTTTTTCAAAGTGCAATCAAAAGAGCACAGACAACAACTGCGTCGTGGAAGTCCATGGCGTCAAATGAGGAAGTCAGTAATGGTGATGACCTACTGCTGCCTGGCTGTTGCTTAGCTCCGTGCGCGCGGTGTATAAAATACGTTGCCCGGAGACAGCAACTGTTGATGAGCAGCTAAAATTGCCCTGTGCGCACCTAGCCTAAGAAGAAGCCAAGGAGAAGCAGTAGAAAGGCTGCAAAAAGAGTCGGGAGCCCAGAGGAGGGGGCAAAGGTGGTGAGGGGATGGGGGCAGAAAGTAGAGACGAAAGCAGACGACAGAACATTGTCAGAGAACAGGAAAGAATGTAAAAGGAGAACATTGAGGGGGAAAAAATTCCTCCACTATCCGGATTCGAACCCGGGACCTTTTGAATGAATGATAGGCGAACACCTTATTTAACCTTTAGACCACGAGAGCCCCTTCCTACTTCTACTTTTTAAAATATATTTTTTACTATACCTCTTTTACGTCCGCACGTTGTTTTGTTGTTGTTTTTTTGGACCGGCGACTGTGGTGTAGCGGTTAGGAGCTTCGTTGTCGCACGCTGGAGACCCCAGTGAGGTGAAAATTTTGTCGTCGGTCCTTTTTCTAGAGGATGTTGTATCCCTCTCAGCCCGGGTTGGTCCTAACTGGCAGGATGGGTAGGAAGCCCGCCTCCTAAATGGTCTGAATTGTGGCTATGGGACGCACAAACTCTGACATTACTATAATTTATTTTTCGTTTGTTTTACCCCTGCACAGAATGAACATCATTGTGTGGATTTGCTACCACTCTATCCTGTTGTTTCTGTCCGTGC